TTTTTTTTTTTTTTTTTTTGTACTGGGGGATCAAACTCGAACCCTTGTGCTTACAAAGTGGCAGTGAAACCATTAAGCTAAATCCCCGGCCCCCAAAGTGAATTTTTGTGGTGTGAAGGCACTGAGCTTTAAGTATTCTGTGTTGTTGTAACATAATTTAGTATAATTTGAGAATAGGAGAGGGCTTATTTATTGTCTTTCCCTAGTGTTGCTGGGATAATAGCTTTCTGTAGAAAACACCACCTTATCACCCCTTCTCTCTTTAAAATTAAAAGAAACAAAAAATACCATGCAAAGTATTTCTATGGCATTAACCTCCCCATTTATATTTTGAAAACATCGCCCATGTGATGATATTAAATGGCATGGCCTTCGGGGTGTGCCGAAGACTTACATGTGGGGTCTGCGTAAATGGGATTATGAAAGGAGGTGTGAGGGAGTTGTGTACCCCTTTTTGTTTGCCCTTCTGCCACATGAGGACACAGTAACAAAACACTTTTATAAGGAATGAGCCCTTGTCAGATCCTGACCCAGCAGGTACCTTGACCTGGGACTTCCTGGCCTCTGGAACAGCAGTGGCAAACCTATGGCAGGCATGCTACAGTGGGCTGTTGGTATCTTTGAAAGTTCTAAAAGGTTCACCGTCACTGCTGTAGGACTTCAAGGAATTTTTTTCTGTTGCTTAAAAATCACTCAGCCTGTGACATTTTTGTTGCAGCTGCCAACATAATAGAGTTGGTTGAAAATTACTCAATGAATACCAAGGCTAGTTCATCAGGGCTGGATGTGAAGAGGCTGTTTGCAAAATCTTGAGTATGTCCAGATAAAAACCGTGCATCCTAAAGAGGAAAATAGTTGTGGAGATGATGGAAGTTTCAGTCAGTTATCATGAATTGACTCAGTGTTCTTCACTTCCAAGGACATCATGAGAACAAAGCTGGAGCAGGGGACTGAGTGCTAATTGGGGGAGGTAAACAGAGCAGACAAAAGTTGCTGGGGCTGCACAGGGAGTGACCTAGCCCCTGACTGATCCACAGTGCTGGATGGAGGCCCACATTGAGTAGGCACCTGGTGAAGAAGCAAGAGTAAGGTGGAAAGAGTGAACTGGCTGAGGGTGTAGCCAGGAAGGGTATTGCTGGCAGAGGTTGGGAGTGGCAGGATTGGAAGCCTCAACCTCTCACCTGTTTTAGGGGGGATATCCACCAACTGGACTTCAGGCAGGTATATGAGGTATATATTTTCTCCCCCAGCACTCACCATTCTTTCTGTCTCCATGAGTCTGACTATTCTAAACATCTCATTTAAGTGCAATCATATTTGTCTTTTTGTAGCTAGCTCATTTCACTTAGCCTAATGCTTTCAAGGTTCAACCATATTGCAGTGTCAAGATTTCCTTCCTGAGGGAATGGAATTAATATGAGAAAAGGAAAAGATGGAAACAAAATCTTTGTAGATAGGGAGAGGTGGAGGGATTGAGGAAGGGCAGGGGATTGGGGAAAATATAAGAACCAAGATGGATTACGTAAAGGTGCAACTTTCCAATGATGAATGCCATTATATTGTATACCTTAAATGTGCCAATAAAATTAATTTTAGAAAGATTTTCTTCCTGAATATTACATTATATGTGCTCTGTGTTTTGACTCAGCTTTCATGCTGTACCCAAATGTTATGGACCAACAACCAGGCTGTACTGGGTGTACAGCACCACCTGGTGGTCAGTGTCTTCCTCACTGCACCTCTCCTTGAGACCAGTCTGTTGTGTTTGTCCTTTCCATGGGCCATTTTCATCTCCAGAATTTTTTTTTCTGTTCTTTTCTTTTTTCAGAATTTCTTGCACATATGCAAACATCACCCTTTATTAGCCTCCTTTCAGTATCTCTTCAGTATCTGAAAAATATAATGCTACCCCTCCTTTCTCCTGTGTTAGCCACACAAGTATGGCTGAGAGTCCTTGGTTCACTAGGGATCAGTCACCATGGGGACAGTCACTGTCCTGAACTGGTGTGGTCTGCTTCCTGGCATATTTTGTTCTAATCCAGTAAGAGCATGCACAAGGCTGGACCTCACCTCCCCACTTCCACGGCCAGCTGCTGCCTCCTTGGCCAGTTGGAGATGGGATAAGAGGAAGGTTTATGTGTCAAACTAGTTATCCTCATCAGAAACACCTGAGAACTCAAATCCCAAGACTTGGGAGATCTGGGGTGTTCTGTTGTTTACTAGCACACCTTATGTGGAAGTGAAAATTGCATGCATAGATTAATAAATTCTGTGTCCCCTTCCTCTAGTGGCCAGTGATCTCTCGATATAGTTTCCAGAGCCTTGGAGAAAAAAAAATGAGTGCTATGACTCAGAAACCCTAGACTCTGAACCCAAATCATGCCTGACCACGTTTAGATCTCTCCTAGTATACCACCTGGGCAGTAACCAGAGTACAAGGATGTATTGCTACTTCCCCTTGGAGCCCCTGTCTCCTGTGCATTTCTATCCCTACATGTCACCTGGTGCTGTGCACACAACTTCAGTGTCACTGCTGGCATCCTGAGTTTGTAACCGATGGTGTAATTCTGTCCCCACAACTTGTTATCTCTTGAGCCAGGTGTGGTGATGCATGCCTCTAAACCCAGTGCTTGGGAGACTGTGCAGGATGATTCTGAGTTTGGGGCTAGTCTGAACTACAGAGTGAGACCTTGTCTCAAAAAAACAGGAAGACAGGAACTCGATCTGTTGGAGCTTACATTAAAGCATTGCATGGTCATTGATAAGTGCTTATAGAATTCATTCATTGAACTTCTCTGAAAGTCTCTTTTTATTGAACTAGAATCTAGATGCCCACAATTTTTACTTAGCCATAGTCAGAAGGGTATGGACAGTCATGAAACAGCAGTGTAGGCCCAGCCTGTGGATGGTTGTGATCCCAGCTGGGGCTCCTCCCCCACCCTCAATCTACCCCCCAAGTCATCTGCTGTGACTTCTCACCATTCAGCCATCAAAGGCACCAGAGCCTTACAACTCTTAAGAATTGATAATTGTGCTGTCCTAGGTTTTCTGCATGTTGAATGTCACTCCTGCCTGATTTCAGAGTATTAGAAACTCTTCCTTCACCCTGTTGTGGAGGACACAAGCCAGGATGGCCCAGATTAGGATACTAATTAGATCTGAGAAGCAGTTTTCCCCTTCATAGTCTGTGCACCACTTAGACGTAGGGACAGAATTAAACCCATGCTTCTTTTCAGATGTGGCCATACAGTTTCCCTCAAGCCTCTTCCTACTCTCCAGCACTGGACTGCACTGACTTGGACCTGGTTCTCTCTCTGGCCTATCTGCACACCCCAGGCTCCAGACTTTTCAGTCCATTTCTATGGGGCTCCCTGTGTCACTGTGCAGAGTACCTTACTGCTTAGCCCAGATATGCCTTGGTGAGGGAAAAACACCAAAGAAGACCTCATTATCCCCTACACCTGGTTACAGATATTTGTCCTGCAACTACTGCATTGGCTATATGGCTTCGGTGAATTATGCAATTCCCAAACCAGGATTTCCTCTTACAATATGGATATTATTATCATTATCACATCATCCCTCCAGGCCCTGACCTCCTGTGAACTGCATTACATTTACTGCATATTGTTTACTTTCTCTGCTACTCTCAAACCTTCAAAGCAAGGACCACAATTGTTATAGTCATCTTTGCATCGGTGCCTCCCTTGGTTCTTGGTTTAAAATAACTTGTTAACAAATTCCTCCAGAGTTGAAACAAATAACGTTCCAAAACACTGAAATGTACTTAAAATCTCAAAGTGTTGAGAAGGCAGTGGATCCAGATGTTTTCATATCAGTGGATTCTAAGCCAAAAGAGTTTCCTTCTTAGATGAAAGTCAGTAATCCTGGATCATTTTACCCAATCCCAACAGCTTCTGTAAAACACAAAATGATTTTATTCTCTATAACTAGAGCCTATGGGCCAAGAATTCCAATACTTTTGCACCTTAACTTGGCAGCTGGCAAAATGAGTTACCAGGGTGACCTCTCCCAACAGCACATGATCCGCACAGCTGCACATGTTTTTTAGCATGACTGCACCAGGACAGAGCTCCAAGCCACTGGGTGGAGCAATGTGCCCTGGGGAGGGAGCTCATGACATTTCCCCTATGATTTCAGAAAAAAAAGAAGAAACTTCTTTTCCTTATGAGTTGTTTCTGCTCAGTGTCAGTAGGGAAACAGCATAATGTTTACATATATGCAGGCAGGAACATGTAGAACATCAATCACCATTGCAGTGGGAGGCAAACTGCATCAACCCCTTATGCAACTGAAACCTTTATCCTTTTCCCTTGGTAACAGAATGCCAACTGTATTGGGCTGACAATGCATACAGCTATCCGACTTATTTTCCTGTTTCTCTTGGAAAGCAGGGTTCCAGCCAATGAAATCAGAGTGTTGTGCAGTCTTCAAGGAGGGTGCTTTAAAGAAGTTGAGCACCACCAGGGATTTAGCTCAGTTGTGCCAAGTTTGCCTCAAGATCCTGAGTTTGATCCCTGGTGGTGGTGGGGTTTGACCCCATTGAAAAGTATGTTCTGCTTGGCTTGACTTCCTTCTTCCTCTGGTTGAATGTCATGTAGATGGCTGGAGCTCCAGTAGCCATTCTGGTACTTGTGACCATCAGCCCTATATGCTGTTTCCATCTGCTTCTGGGAATGAAATGTTGGTCACAACAAAGACGCTATTATTTTTTTGAACTTTAAAGTCAGTGTTCTGTTACATGAAGCCTGTTAATAACCTCCATACAAAACATGAAGAAAGGTTTATTGCTGCTCTTCTCTAGCTGTTAACAGAAATAGCGAATGCATGGGAATAGAGATAAACCGTTGGTGCAACAATAGGGAAGAATGTTATGTACACATATAAAGAATAAAATTTTTTCCTATTGGAAACCCCGGAGGTGCCCAGTACATTTAAAGATTCATAGGGTAGCTGCCGCAAACATTTATAAATGCAATAAATGCAACAAAACCGCTTTTAGAGATACAATGTTCCCCGCAAGTGTACGGAAAAAATGTGTGCAATGAACTGGTAGCTGTGGTCAGTGTGCAGCAGATTTGTGGGGCCCGTACTTTAACAGTAATGTTTAAATGTTTGACAATATCACTGAGTGTTCAGCATCTCTGGTAACATTTTTTTTATTACTTTTTTATTGGTACATTTTAGATATACAATAGTTACATTCATCAATGGGATCTTGCACCTTTGTATGATGTATCTTAGTTCTTATTTTTCCCCCTTTCCCTTAACCTCCCTCACCCCCCGCAAATCTGGTAACATTTTTTAGAGATAAAAAGTAGCACAATTCAGCCTTGAAAATGACTTAGATAGAGCCCCAGTATTGGGCTGAAATCAGAAGGCCGATTGAAGCTCTTTTAAACAAATGGAAATCTGTTTTTAAAATCAAGAGCCTGTCTGAGTTCGGGGATGACAGCAGTACCGACAGCTAGGTGCACTGCTGCATCTGTCACGCGCAGGACACCGAGCGACCTGCTTGTGACGTTCTGGGACGAGCTGCAGTCGCGCTGCTGACTTCTACCCTAACTGGCTGTTCTCAGAAGCTGCAGGAGGCCGGGAAAGCAGCACCGCAAAAGGACTTTGTCAGAGCCTAAGCGGCTTCCAGAACGACGTCCAACGCCAGCTCACTTCACCGGCGAAAACCCCCGAGGCCAAGCAGGGACTTGCGTATACAGCTGGTGAGTTAGAGAAAAGCCAGCCTCCACTGGAAAACGCAAAGATCACCCCAGGGCGACCCGGCGCGGGAGGAGCGACTGGGAAAGACCCAGGGACAAGCCCGCTAGGCACGCCCGGTCTGGGCCGAGCCCTGGCTGGGCGGGGTTCAGGAGGGGTGGAGGAACGAGGACGGGGCTGGCACCGATTGGCGAGCGAGTGCCGGAGAGCGGGTGGGGAGGAGCTTCCGGAAGGGGAATGGAGGAACGTGAACGGGGCGGGGACCGATAGGAGAGCGAGGAACGAGGGGGCGGGGCCCACGCTGAGCGCGTCGGAGGAGGGGCCGGAAGCTGAGGTGAGCAGGTTGGGGCGGAGCCGGAAACCGGGGGTGGCTCACGGCAAGGGGCGGACCTGTGAACTGGGTGGGCGGGGTCATGAGGCCTGGGACGGACTCCGAAGGCCTGCAATTTTGCCGGAAGCGGGGGCGGGGCCGGAAGCCTACGCAAGTCCGGCGTCCTCCGCTGTGCGGCTTAGCGAAGTGAAGATGGCGGTCTCCAGGTGGGTCCGTGTGGCCCTTCTCCTGCTTTATGCCTCTGACATCTTGCTGCTGCTGCGGTCCCCTGGGGTTTGCGCAGCCGAGGACCCGGCCGGGACGCCCAGCGAGGCAACACCACCTCCACGGAAGAAGAAGGACATTCGCGACTACAATGATGCGGACATGGCGCGTCTTCTGGAACAGTGGGAGGTCCGCTCGCGCAAGCTCTCCCTGCTCTTTGACCTCCTTACCCTCTGCCTCGGGGCCCCTGACCCCTGAAACCCTTTGCAGAGAGCTGTTATCCCTCACACACTAGAGCAACGCCAGCCTTCGGGGCTTCCCTTGATTCCAGCCCTGCCATCCTCTCCCCCGCTCCCGGGCATCTCATTCTCCTGTCCTCTTTCCTCTCGTTCTTCTGGCTCTCAGTCACGGATCGGCCACGCTTTTCAGTCCCGCTTTCCCTTCGTCGTTCCGGTCGCCTCTGCGTATGTGTCTGTGACCGGTGAGCCCTACACGCGGAGGGAGCCCTTTTCCACGCCATTGCTGAAGAGCCCTTTCTTCCTCCAACCCTCTGTTCCGGAGAGAGGGGATAGATGAATGGATTGTGGGGGTGACTGTCTTTCAAGAGAATTATTTTTGCTTTGATAGTTACTCGGTCCTCGAAATCAGTAGGACTTCTGACTTCTCCTTTTGCTATATGAGAATTCTGAGAATTTTGACATTCAGTGTGGATTTCTTTTGTTGGGCGGGGAATAGCAAAGGCTGGTCATGAAACTCAGAATTTTTGTTTAGAGGGGCAATGACTTGTTCTGGTGATAGTAAGTTTTCTGGTTTGTCACTTGGATGCATCGGAGTGTGATTACAGGGTGTGAATAGACTTATTTACGGTAAAGTTCGCTTATCAAAACTACATCACTGCCTCTTTCCCTTCCCTGTAGTATGTCCTAGCTGATAACGCACAGCTGGCTGAGTGGAGCCAGAAATTTGAATTCTACTTAGTGTAACCTTGACAGGTCATGTCTCCCTTCTCAGCCTTGGTTTCCTTATCTGAATGACTGCGTGACTTCTGAGAATCCTTCTAAAGCTGATTATCTCTGAGATAATGAGTGTTATAAGAAGGAGACAGACTTCAGGCATGAGTTGATGGATTTGACTAGAAGAAAGCAGGTGTTTGTTTTCATGTTTATCTGTAGCTGCTGGAATGATTGCAGTACCTTTGAGTGTAGGCATACCATTGTTGAAGAGGGCTTTTTACCGTTCTTGCCTTCCTTACAGTCTCCCTACCAGTTTTGAACTTTGCCAAAGTGAGAAATTCTGCCCTGGAAGTACTTGGACTGAGCTAGATGAAGAGGGTGCTGTAGAGATGAACAAAGGAACCATCAGGGGCGGTAGATAACAAAAATAACTGTAATGCACAGTAAAAATAGCTGAACGCCATGAAAATGCAGCTTTGTGGGAAACTCAAGACTTCAGGGAGGAAGTGGCATTTTAGATAGGCCAGGGAAAATGTGAGGGCAGTGGCGTTTAAGACTGGTTAAGAAAAATGCGGGAAGAAAGGGATTTTTAACAGCTGTGTGAGCTGATGATGAAATGTGGGAACCAGGCAAAATAGTGCAAAGATTAAGCCTAGGTTCTGGAGTTGGACTGTTGCTCATTCCACTTAAATTTGTGGATCCATACTAGTAAAGAACCTCTCTGAGCTATAGTTTTCTCATATGGAAAATGGAAATGTTACTAGTGTCCACCTCAGCTGCAAGAATTAACTAAGGAAAGGACAAGAAATTAGAAGAGTGCATCTCATTGATCAGTATGAAGTCATCTTACCCATATATTAGAATAAAGGAATGTTTATATTTAATCATCTGTAATCTTATTTCAAAATATAATGTACAAATTTTTGAGTACCTTTCTATATGCAGGCATAATTTTTATAACAAATAAAATAGATGGCTTTTTTTTTCCTGCTCTTCAGTTTTTCCTTTGACTCAGTTTTCTTACTGATTCCTCAAACTACTGCATTGTCTTCATAGTTGTACTGTTAAACAGCTTCAGAATAAGCCCTGGAGAGGTGACATTGTTGTCACTCCTCATCTTCCTCATGTGGGTGTAGAGAGTTACCTTTCCCTTGCCCAAGGCCATACGGTTTAAGAGCTGGAGCGGGAGCAGGGAGCTAAATCCGGGCCCCTCTGACAGTATGGCCTGTGTTTCAGGGCAAATAAGAAGCAGGTCAGCTTGAGAAGATGTAGAGTTAAGGACAAAGTTGAGAGGCTCTGTGCAACTGCTTGGGCTCAGGTCCGATGGTTCTTTTTCTTTTGTAGCTGAGGAAGCAGGTCTAGAGGAGTAAGAAATGTTATCTCTTGTCACAGAGCTAGCTTGAAGAGCTGAGAGAGGGTCCCAGGTCTGATGTCCGTGTGGATCTTTGGCATTAGAATTCTTTCCTTTTCACCTTTTATTTAAAATATCAGCCACCCACTGTGTTATTGTTGGTGTCTTCAGACTTGACCCCTCTGGGTGATTGCAGAAGAATGGAGAGCAAAAAGAGGCCTTTTGTTTTTTTTAGGTTGACTTTTGGTAACAGCTTTGTGGAGAAATAACTCACATGACATACACACTTCACCGGCCATCTAAGTGGTTTTTAGATTTTTCAGTTATGCAACCATCACCACTCACTTTTGAACATTGCATCTTTTGGAAAAGAAAAAACCCTCATCTGCTCCTTCCGAATTTTCTCCAGCCAGCCCTAGGCAACCACTAATCTACTTTCTATCACAAAGTTTTTGTCTGTTTTGGACGTTTCCTACAGATGGAATCATGGAATGTGTAGTCTTTTGTGTCTGACTCTACCTCTTAGTGTAATGTTTTCAGAGTTCATCCATGTAGCATGGATCAGTCAGGACCTCATATCTTCTTATTGCAGTTTGCCTTTTCAAGGAACATGGTTCTTTTTCTTTTTTCTTTTTCCTTGTAGTACTGGGGATTGAACTTGAAACCAAGGCCTTTGCTCTAACCTATATCTCTAGTCCCTTTTTAAAATTTTGAGACAGTCTTGATAAGGTGCCCAGATAGGTCTCAAACTTGCATTCCTCCTGTTCTGGCCTCCTAGAGTGCTGAGATTACAGGCATGCAGCACTATACCTAGCTGGAGCCTCATTCTTTTAAATATTTTTTTTTAATCTGTCTGATTTTTGTTTTATTAGTTGACATTCTGCTGTGAGCAGTTCATTCGTTTGCATCAGCATAGACTCCCTGGACCTTACTTTATTGGGGAAGTTAGAAGTTATTACTGTTACTTACTATGAGATACATCTTCTTCCTGATTTGCTCATGAGAACTGCCTCAGGTTGATGTCTGTCATTTTGACATTCCATGATTCATTTAGCCCTTTATTGCTGTCTGGTACAGGAAGATATTCTAGGCTCCTCTTCTGTTTTCCTTGCTGTAATTAACCTTTTCTCCAAGGAACCCCACTTTGAAATATTTTTATCCTTGCACTCACCTGTTTACCTGTCAGTCCGTTAGGAACCCTGCATTTCTTTGGTGCCTCTAGTTTATCCTAAACCACGGACATTCTTTATCCTTCCGTGTTTGTGGCTTCTTTTCCAAAGCTGAGGATCCTACCTCTTATTGTCCCCAGGATGTCTGTACCTTTGGTCAGGCCTAAAATTGACAGAAGGTGGTGTGAGAATTGCTAACACATGGCACTGCAAAAAACAAATATACTAACTACAGTTAAGTATTTGTGCGCAGTGAAATGCAGATTTTAGGTGTATGGTGTGAGTTTTGATTAGTGGATACATCTGTGTAATCTATATCCTGATGAAATACAGACCATCCCATCAGCTTAGGAAGTTCCCGTGTTCCCCCTCACAGCCTCCTGCCAGTTGCACCCATTGTTCTCCTTTCTGACCTCCTGCATCATGGCTCTCTTGAACTTTGCATGGATAGTATTGTGCATCTTCCTTAGTGTCCAGCTTCAGTCACTCAGTATTTTTGAGATTTGTTGTATGTATCAGAATTTGTTCCTCACTCCTGGGTAGTTCTTGTATGACCATACCAGAATGTGGCCATTTTTATAATCACATTGGGTAGATTCTTTGAGAGTAAAAAGCTGTGGGAACCCTCACATGGAACTCTCAGGAGTGCTTGATGATGGGCAGTAGGTACTACCAGAAACAGGTTTTGCTCATAATTTGGGAGAAAAACTCTGGGGCTTTAGGCTGGACACCTGCTCTGTTGTGTGCAGGTGTGTTTACCTGTGCTGGTTGAAAAGCGAGGTTCTGATGAATGTTTGATACTTTTCCCCATCTTGCCAGAAAGATGATGACATAGAAGAAGGAGATCTTCCAGAGCACAAGAGACCTCCGGCACCTGTTGACTTCTCCAAGATAGATCCAGGCAAGCCAGAAAGTATCCTGAAGATGACAAAGAAAGGGAAGACACTCATGATGTTTGTTACTGTATCCGGGAGCCCAACTGAGAAGGAAACAGAGGAAATCACGAGCCTGTGGCAGGGCAGCCTCTTCAATGCCAACTATGATGTACAGAGGTAAAGGCCTATGGCCTCTGAGCACTTTCTGAGGTTGCACTGTGTGTCTTTATCTCATTTATCATTTGAGCTTCAGATTTTCCTTATCCTTATTGCTTTTGTTGTAATTCATCTGACTGAAAAGCTTTGTAGCCTAGCCTAACTGGAGGACAGATGTGAGACAGTTGTTGCTATGGACATGTCTGCTCAGTGGATCTTGCAGTGTGTCACTAACATCTGACTAATTTGATATGCAAGGGCTTTTTACACAGCGTATCTGGTCCTGAAGTTCTATTCGAAAGCATCTGCTTTTCCCCTCAACCAGTTCTGAGATTTAGGATTTCACATATCTTAATTGAGGAACTGGGACAGTCAAGAGGCTCTAGGCCAACAGAAAGCTTTTGTTAGTTTACATACTTAGAATGAACCTGTCTTGGCGATGACTGGTCAGTGTGGAGGGGTAGAGGCAGGGTGGCGTTCCCTGCAAGTGGCAGGGTCATGCCTGTTGGCTGTGCCAGCAGTCCACCCAGGCCTCATTCTGTTCTCCCACTCCTGGGCCTGCTCAGTGTCGACGGGCCAGGCTGCTTGCCAGGAACTTCGGCAGTTGGGGCTTCTGTCAAGTTGCCCAGTGTCCTCTTGGGCCTTGAGGACTTAACCACAAGCTGTCCTGAGCCAGAGGTTTTTAGCCTTTAGCAGCAGAATCTTTCTGGCAAATAACCGAATGCTTCAGAATATACACCAGCTAGAAATGGAAGCGACACTTCAGAATATAAAACACAAGTGGAACCCAGCCCCCAGCCACCCTGCAGCACTGATGGAGCTTGTCCTGATGCTCCCTAAGTGGAAATGTCTACTTATACCACAGAGCAGTGTCTGTCTGCTTTGATCCCAATGGGTGTCTAATATTTCAGCAAGCTGATATTTTCAAACTTTAAATGTCCATGGCAGTTAGGCCTTGGAAAATGAATATTTTTCTTCTGTATTCATGTGAAATTTGCAGTGAACGTTTTTCTGCTTAAGTAGCACCAAGACACCCTGACCTATTAGCACCTTACTAGTTTGTGCTCACTGTCTGGTTGCGTCTCTGTCCAGGTTCATCGTGGGATCAGATCGGGCCATTTTCATGCTTCGGGATGGGAGCTATGCCTGGGAGATCAAGGACTTTTTGATCAGCCAGGACAGGTGTGCTGATGTCACTCTGGAGGGACAGGTGTACCCTGGAAAAGGAGGGGGAAGCAAAGAGAAAAACAAAACAAAGCAAGAGAAGGGCAAAAAAAAGAAGGAAGGGAATTCAAAATCACGAGCCTCAAAGGAAGACAACCGAGCTGGAAGTCAGCGAGAAGACCTGTGACAGTGCTGCTCCCTGAGGAACAGAGGGACAGGGGAACCCTTTGCTGGACTCACAGGTAGGGTGGATACTACACACCTGGTGATGTTCTTATTTCTTCAAAGAGTCAGCCACATACTGTTGGTGAAGCCTTCAGGGATGGAGGCAGAGATTTCCTGATTAATAGCAGACACCAACAGATTCATGTTCACTCCAGAGTCACGGACCAAGGAACCTGACTGTTTCACTTTCCCATTAGACCTGGTGGGTCATTGAATGCCAAGACTGCTGCCTCGCCATGCTGCTCTGCTCTGGTGGCTTGCTGTGTCTGCTTCTGATTTTCTGTTAACCAAAAAGATAGCAGGTTTTGATCCAACAAGCTTTTAAACATCTCGACTTCGTCAAGTGAAACTATTGAGCTGCAACTGTCATTTTCCTCACAGTGAAAGTAAAGTGAGCTGTGATGTTTGTGTCACCAGGAAGCCAGGTGTGTGAACCCATCTATGCAGGAAATACAGGAGCGGAAGCAATGCCACTCAGTGGGTACTTAGGAGGTCGCTAACTGAAGTTCCTGTCCTCAGCTGGAGGGAACTCTTGCTGTCTGTCCAGTCATGTGGCTTTATGGAGGACGGAGTGAGACTGCTGTAAAGTATGTGAGTGGGACCAGCAGAACCCCAAGCACGTGTAGCAGAAGACATGACAACCTCATTTACAGTGTTCTAGACATTTCCTTTGATAAAGTGCCTAAACTTGTGTTTTTGTATGGTACTAACTTGATGTGCTGCCATTCATGTCAAAATTTTCCCGTTCATATATTGGAGCTGACTCCGAATAAGAGGACATTTATATGCAGACCTCCATTTTAGGAGTTTAAATTCTTTTGGGAAAAAAAAACCTCAATTATGGTTTTAAGGCATTTAAAATTACACATGTACGTGTATGTGCTTAGAAAATATTACTGTTAAAGGGTGGTTAAAAAGTGGAAACTGTCCATACAGTGCCACCAGTACCTGTCCCTTGTCCCAGTGGAGCCACTTTATAATTTGTTTTAAAAAAAGAGAAACATTTGCCAGCTCACAGTGTGCTTTGGCCTTGATCATCTGCCTCCCTAGACTCTGATAACCGTGTCCTTTTGCTGCTGTGAGCCACACCTCTGCTTCTCCCTCCATCTCAGCTGGGAGTGCAGTGCACTGCAGGCTGCAGTTTGTGAGACCCAGGCCTGGGCAGCAGGCCCTGTCAGCTCATCCTGGGGTTGTGCTTGAGTTCCCTCGGAGCATCCTGGGAGGATGAGAGGCTGGAGCAGTTGCAGCCACCTTGCTCGATGTTTGAGGATGGAGCTGTCACAGGTAGCAGGAGAAGCAGGTGCAGTGCCACATCCTGGTGTTCACCTGAAATAAGCCCTGTCCCTCAATTTTTTAGAGTAATTTGCTGGGTTTTGTACCCATAACAGTCCAGCATGGAGTTAACTGCTGGTTAGTTTTAATTAAGCAGGAAGGATGGGGCCTCCCCACTGCCGTATAGCAGTGCCCAATTCAACACACATCTCTGTGCCTGCTTCCTGCCTCCAGGGTCTGAGTGTCTGCAGGTTGCCATGCACTGCTGGGACAGTCAGGTAGAGCCATGCTGTGGTGGATCTTTGGTCAGATGGTCATTGCAGAAGTGGAAAAGAAGTAGTGGGGCAGAATCCCACTTGAGAGGTCAGAGAGGCCCGATAGAGGCACAGGAACAGAAGGAATAGAGGAATAAGGCAAGGGAAGTAGTCTGTGCAATACCCAGTGGCTAGAAGCAGCAGTGAGTGGGACTGCTGGAAGCCTCCAAGAATGCTGGGGCACACAGGGCTGGGCTCAAGGGGCAGCCATGTACAGAAGAATTGCTGGGAAGGGGCCCTCATAGTGTGAGGCACTCAGGAGGGTCTCGGTAGTTCAGTGCAGGGAAGCAGCATGATGAGGTCTGAGCCCACAGCGGGATGCTTGGGTTCGTGCTTTCAGGCTAGTATATTGTAGTGAACATTTGTTACACTACTTCAGTCAACTTTTATGTATCTGACAGGAAAATTCCTGGCAGTGGAATTATTAAGACAAAACTAACATTTTGGTGTTTATTGCCAAACTGCTTTTCTAGGTGGTCTTGTCAGTGTAGCCTTGTCAGCAGTCGACCTCCTGTCCTCGCCAGACCTGGGCACCATTCTTGCCAGTTCAGTGTGTGGTAAAACCAGATCTTCTCAGCCCTTTGGCCCTTGTGGAGTCCACCTTTGCCAGCCCATCACAGCTGTGCTGGAGAGAGTTCGGTGTTTTCTGCCTCACCATTCTGACACCCCAGGGAAGAGATGCCCTGTCTCCCGAACCTGAACCGCTCTGCAGACTCAAGAGCAGAGGAAAACTCAGGTTTCTGATCAGTTCGTCTTCATGCTTTTGGTATCTTGTGACCTAATAAATTTGGATGATGTAATCAATTATGAAACATGACAGCTTTGTTAGATGCACACATCTTTCCACGTTCCTTTCTCCTAAGGTCCTCTACTATGCTTTTCTTTTTGCGATGATGGGGAGTGAATCCAGAGAGCACTGAGTTGCACCCCAAGTCCTTTTATGACATTTTTATTTTGAGACAGCTCTCAGTAAGTTGCCCAGGCTGTCCTTCAACTTGGGATCCTCCTCCCTCAGTTTTGTGAACTGGATTACTGGATTACAGGCATGGGTGACCACCCTTGGTTATCCCTTTGGCTTTTGAGTTGTGCTGTATTTTTAGTACTTCTGGTGGTTCCCTTAATGACATTAAGTCTTTTTCTTTACTGATTTAGAACTTCTGTCACCCAGTTGTTTCACGGTGTTGGCTCCACACTGATGGGGCACATAGTATTCTGTAGCCACGGTGTCAGGAGTCTGTCATCCGGGTTTGTTTTTTTCCCTAGTACTTCAAGACCTTGCTCAGTTGAAAGATCTGTGAGGTTGTGCTTGTCTTTCCTCTGAGAAAAGACTTTTTTTATCACATTCTAGGAATTCTTTCTTAAACAGTAATTTTGTTAGGGAAAGTTTTTTTTTAAAATTGTAAAACGTGATATGCCAGTTGTAATTTCAGATTCAGCTTTTTCTGTTTTCCATTCAAAATATACCTATTTTTTGTTTCTAATTTTTTAATTGATACATTTTAGATATACGTAGTAACATTCATCTTAGAGAATTTGTACCTGTACAGGATACATCTTGGTTCTTTTGTTCCCCACTCCCCTCCCCTCCATTCAACCCTTCTTCCTCTCCTTACTTACAAAAGTGTTTTCATTTTTTCCTTGTTTTTTTTCTCTTCCTTTCCCTCTCTCCCCTTCTTTGTTTCCCTTCTCATTTGAACATTTTCTTCCCATTCCCGGTATCTCTTGTACATTTTAGTTCTTATTTACAATTTTGATTTCTTACATCAGAGAAACAATGTGATATTTAAACGTGGATCTGATTTATTTTCACTTAAAGAGTATGGTCAAGGTCCATCCATTTACCTAGAAAGGTCTCAAGCTTAACCTTTATAGCAGAGTAGTACTCCGTTGTGGAAAAAAAAAACCCACATCTTTATCATTTTTTCATCATTGGTTGGACATTTGGACTGTTGCAAGATTTAGCTATTACAAACCGAATTGTTATAAACATGGGTATGCATATGTCATTGTGGTATGATTACAAAATTCTTTTGGGAAGATAACCAAGAAGGGGAATAGCTGGATCAAATGGAACCTCTAGTTTTAGTTTTTTGAGCAACTGCCACACTGATTTCCACAGTGGTTACGCTAGTGTACAATCTCGCTAAAAGTGGAGAAGGGTTCCTTTTTCTCCATAGCCCTGCCAGCATTTGTTAATTGGTTGATTTCTTAATAATAGCCATTCTTTCTGGAGTGAGATGAAATCTCAGCATTGTTTTATTTACATGTCTCAAATGAGTAATGATATTGAACATTTTTTCATATATTTATTTGCCATTTCTACTTCATCTTAGGGCCAGGGATATAGCTCAGATGCACCGTGTCTGCCTGGCAAATGCAAGGTCCTGAGTTTGATACCCAGTACCAAAAAAAGGACCTCTACTTCATCTGAGAAGTGTCTGTTCATTTCAGATGTCCATTTTGGGATTGGGTCTTCAAATGGGGGGGAGCCTGACTTGAGTTCTTCATATATTCTAGATATTAGTCTTTAAGGAACAGCTGGCAGAAATTTTTTCCCACACTGGCTTCTCTGTTTCCCTCTGTTGGTGGTTTATTTTACTGTATAAAAGTTTTTTTTAATACGATGAGATCCCAGTTGTGATTCTTTGTACTACTTCCTGTGTGACTGAGGTTTTGTTCATAAAATCCTTTCTTATGCCAATTATACCTAATCTGTCTTCTAGCAGGTTTAGTTAGTATTTCCATTTTACTATTTAGATCATTGATCCATTTCAATTTTAGTTTAGTGCTTGGTGAGAGATACAGGTCTGGTTTTAATCTTTAGTATGTAGAAAGCCAGTTCTTCCAGTGAAGGTGTTTGGTTCCTTTGTCAAAGATAAGGTGGCTGAGTGAAGTTGTTTCTATCTTTTTCATTGATCCTTGGATCTGGTTGGTTGGTTGGTTTGTTTTGCCAGTACCATGCTGTTTTTAATCATGGTAGTTTCGTACTGTATTTTCAAGTCAGGTTGTGATGCCCCCTGCCTTTCCTTTGTTGCCCAGAATTGCCTTTGCTATTCGGGTCTCTTCTAGTTCCAAATGAATTTTAGGATTGTTTTCTCTAATTCTATGAGATATGCTGTTGGTATTTTGATTGGGATTGCTGTAAATCAGTAGCAGTTGTGGAAATATGGCCATTTTCACTATATTGGTTCTTCCTACCCAAGAACAAGGAATATCTTTCCACTTTCTGTTATCCTCTTTATTCTACTTTTTCAGAGTACTGTAGTTTTCATTGTAGAGGGCTTTTTTTTTCCTTTGTTAGATTGATTCCTAGGTATTTCATTTTTTTTGGATGCTATTATGAAAGGTGTCATTTCCCTAATTTCTCTCTGTTTGTGTATTTGTGTACAGAAATACTGTTGATTTTTGAGTGTTGACTTTGTTTGTTTTTGTTGTTGTTGTTGTTGTTTGAAACAGGGTCTCACTATGTAGTTGAGACTGACCTGGAACTCTCTATGTAGCCCAGGCTGGTCTCAAACTCACAGCAATCCTCCTGCCTCAGCCTCCCTTACAGGCATGAGGCACCATGCCCGGCTCATCTACATTATAATGATAATTTCTTCCTTTGCTGTCTTTAATTCCTTTTATTTCTTTCTCTTGTCTAATTGCTTTTGCTAATGTTTCCAAAACTATACTGAATGAGAGTGGTGATAGTGGATAGACATCCTTGTTTTGTTCCTGATTTTAGAGTGAAAGCTTTCAGTTTTTGTCTGTTTAGTATGATGTTTCTTTTTTATTTTTTTTAAATAGAGTTTATTGATACTTTTTAAGTATATAATGCAGTTACAGTCATCATTGGGATCTTGTACCTTTGCATGACAGATCTTGGTTCTCATTTTTTCCCTATACCCCTGCCCTCCCCCACCCCTTCAAGAATGATGTTTTCTGTTGGTTTGTTTTACCTGGCTTTTATCAGATTGAGATAAAGACCATCTTCCAATTTTCTGTAGGTTTTTTTTTTTTGAATGGGTGTTGGTTGGACTTTCTCAGATCCTTCTTCTGCACCTACTGAGATGATCATATGGTTTTTGTCCTTGGCTTTGTTAGTAAGTGTATTACATGTATTGATTTGCTTATATTGAAACCAATCCCTTGGGGTGAATCCTTCTTGGTCATAATGTATAGTTTTCTTGATGATTTTCTGCATTCTGTTTGACGGTATCTTGAGTATTTATTTATTCATCTATGTTCATGAGGGAGATTGGCCTATAAGTCTGATTTTTATTGGGCCCTTCTCTGGTTTTGGTGTCAGGGTAATGCTTGCTTCCAGGAGTGAATTTGGGAGTATTGCTTCCCTTTCAATTTCATTAAAGAGTTTGAGAAGAAGCAGCATTAGGTCTTCACTAAATTTCTTGTAGAATTCAGCAATGAATCTGTTAGGGCCTGGGCTTTTCTTTGTTGGTAGGCTTTTAATTGCATCTTTAATTTTATTGACTGTTACTGGGTTATTTAGGATTTTTAAAATATTTTGTTTGTTTGTTTTTTGGTATGGTGGATCAAACTTGGACCCTTGCACTTGGGAGGCAGGTGGCAGAACCACTGAGCCAAATCCCAGGCCCTTTATATATTTTTGTTTGTTTGGTTTTTGTGTTTTGAGACAGGGTCTCACTATGTAGTTGAGACTGAACTGGAACTCACTATGTAGCTCGGGCTGGTCTTGAACTCACAGTGATCCTCCTGCCTCAGCCTCCTGAGTGCTGGGATTACAGGTGTGCGCCACCATGCTTGGCTAGGATTTTTTAATATCTTGGGTCAGTTTTGGTAATTCATCTTTTTAGCTTTTTTTTTTTTTTTCCTGTACCGGGGCTTGAACTCGTGAGGCAGGTGCCAGAACCACTGAGCCTAAATCCCAGCCTGGTAACTCATGTTTATCTAGGAATCTATCCATTTCTTCATTTTCCATCTTAGAGTACAGGTTCTCAAATCTCAAAGTTGATCTGGATTTCTGCAGGATCTTTTGTGATTTCACCCTTTTCATTCCTAACTGCATGGATTTGAGTTTTTTTGATAAGATTGGCTGAGGGTTTGTCAGTTTTATTTAATCTTTCAAAGAACCAACTCTTTCATCCATTTTTTGTGTTGTTTTCTTAGTCTCAATTGTATTTTGCTCTGATTTTTTTTTTTTTTAACTGCTCTGATCTTTATAATTTCCTCTCAGGAGCTTTGAGCTTAACTTGTTCTTCCTTTTCTAGAAGCTTGAAGTTCAGCATTAGGTTTAATTTAAATTAAATTTAATTAAATTGTATCCCATCATTCCCCCCATCCCCCTTAGGTTGTCTATTTGAACTCTCTGTTTTCCTGTCATGGGAATTCACCACTAAATTTCCCTCATAAGACTGCTTTCATTGCATTCCATAAGTTCTGGAATGTATTGTGCGGCATTGTTAATCGTAGAAACTCTTTAATTTCTTCTTTAATTTCATCTGTGATCCATGGTTGTTCAGGAGGGTGCTATTTAATTTCCAGGTGTTTGTGAAGTTTTTTATGGTTTCTTTTCCCATTGATTTCCATGTGATAATGTGCATGAGATAATTTGAAATCCTTTGCATTTACCTAAGCATGTTCTATGAGCCAGTATGTGGTCTATTTTGGAAACATCCCATGTGCAGCTGGGAGGAATGTGCATTCTGATGTGGAGTGAAACACTGTGGACATCTACTAAGTCTATTTGTTCAGAAGTTTGATTCCATTTTGTTTCTTTATTTTGTTCAGTTGATCTATATCTATTTATGACAATGAGTTATTGAGTTCCCCCATTACAATTA